GATCAGTTTCTGTAGAGAATTTCATATTTCCAATTTTTTGTAAAGCAGATTTGGAGTCCGAGAAGATAACTGAGTTCAATATATTTTTTCTAAAACGATTTGCAAGGCATGGTTAATTGCAATAATTTCTGCAGTACATATTTGTGTATGTTGAGGTAGTCTGCTTGAAAACACGTAATTGAGGTCTGGAGAAAATACACCGAAGCCTGAATCATTAGAAGGTCCCACAGATCCGTCGGTGAAGATTTTTGTGTAACCGGGTGGCTCGTTTATTGTGTCAGTAAAAATGGATAATCCATAAGTGTCATCCCTAATTGATCTAAGATTTAAAATTGGAATTGAAGAGAGTTGGATGTCCAATTCAAATTCATGGCATGGCAGCAATTCATTAGAATACATATTCGGAAGGAACTCTTCCATTTGGTTCATTAAACTTAATAATACTGGAGTGTTAGTTACCTTTTTGTAAACATTTCTTTCTTTATTTAGTATTTCCAAATGTTTTAACGAATTGATAACAGGGTTTTTTTCCAATGCAAGATTTTTAAAAAAAAATTTATAACAAAGCCAGTCTCTCCTTAAGTTTAAAAGGATATCCCCGCTCTCTGCTTGCAAAGCATAAATTGGGGTTGATTTCATACAACCAGTGATGACACGTACGCTCTGATATTGTAGCCTGTCCAACTTCTTCTGAAGGTACTTCGGGCATGGAGAAATTACCTGGCATCCATTATCTATATGACTTAAGATGATAGCGTTGTGTATTATGCGAAGGATTTTTGGATCACTGCCCCACCACGTACCACAAAGAGCTCGCATGACATTTAAACCTCTGCTAATTTTTTGCTCTATGTAATTTATATGTGCATTCCATTTTAAGTGTTTATGAATGTAAATGCCTAAATATTTGAATAAATCTGACCAGTGAATGATTGTATCATTAAATTTAATTTTTGGAAGGATTAATTTAATAGGACCTTTTGAAAAAAGGAGAGCCGATGATTTAGTTATAGACAAGTTGAAATTGTGCTAATCGAGCCAGTCTTTAAAAGCAATCAAGAAAGAGTTTATTTCTATAATAATATTGAAGACATTCTCTCCACTAACCAAAATTACAATGTCATCCGCGTATTGGATTAATTTAAAGGCTTTTGGTATAATATTGATTAAAGATAATATACAGGGTGTTAAAAAAAAAGTGTCACAAAATGAAATGGTGAATAGTATGACCCAAAATAAGCAGAAAAGTCTTAATAAATATATTACCGCAAATTAACGGTTTCGGACATACGGACCATTTTGTGTTTATAACAATTTTTTATTAATATAAAAAAATTATATTTATAAACAATCAATAACAACATAGAGTTAAATGAGATGTTCAATGTGCCCTCCCTCCATTTCAATGCATTGCCATTTGCACGACCGTACATAAAATGCATGTCAGCTAATTCAATATTAGTGTAAACAGGCATAACGAAAATTCATAAAATTATTCATCCCACAACAAAATAATAACTGCAAATAGTATCTATAAAAAAACATCGGTAGACTCCGATAAGAAAAGCAAGTTTTTGAGAATGAAAAAAGATAATCAAAAAATGATACAAAACACAAAACACTCCGTATCTCTGAAACCATTCATTTGCGGACATATGTTTATTAAGACTTTTCTGCATATTTTGGCCCATACTACCCCCCGTTTTATTTTGTGACACTTTTTTTTTAACACCCTGTATAGAGATTAAACAAAATGGGGCTAAGGGGAGATCCCTGAGGAAGTCCTTGATTGGAGGTTCGTGGTCCATGACTTTGACCACAGTTATCTGAGACTGAAATGGATCTGTTATTCAGAAATGCATAGATAAGGTTCCATAGCTCTATTGAAATGCCAATATTGGCTAATTTGGAGTATAGAATATATATATTTACACTATCATAGGATGCCGAAATATCAAGGAATAGACCAACAGTATAATTATTTGATGTCAAGCCTATTTGGACTTGAGTGATTAAGTAAGATATTGATTCTGTGCAGCCTTTTCCTCGTCTAAATCCTAGTTGTAAGGGATGTAAGATTTTCTTGATTTCCAAATACCATTCTATTTTATTTTTGATAAGTGATTCTAGAAGTTTTCCAACGCAGGATGTTAAAGCTATAGGTCTATAATTATTTGGACATGATTTATCTTTCCCAGATTTTACAAATGGCAAGATCAAAGATTGTTTCCATTGTTGGGGAATAGATTCACTTTTGAGACAGTTATTGTAGAATTGTAACAGGCAAACGGCACCCAAGTTAGGTAAGTTTTTTACCATTGAGTAGGAAATATTATCTTAGCCAGGAGAAGAATCTTTTTTAATTGATAATGTATACTTAAATTCATTATATGTAAAGGCAGGTTCTATGTCATTAGGGATTTTGATAGAAGCAGCAGGGGAAGCAGAATTCGGTGTTATGATTTTTAGTATATCTTTAGCTAGTAGCGAAGATGGCATAAGGCTGGAAGTATTAGTTTTCTGACCTGCTACTGAATTTACTTTATTCTGTAGTGCCTACTGTTGCACTAATTACTACCTTTCACCTTAATCATAGTTTCCGCAAATTTATAACCTCCAATCTTTGTGGCAGTCGTGGATGGATAAATATTAAGCTCACTTCACCGTGGCTCCCTGGTTGCCGGGAGAGAGGATATTGAAAATAAAACAAGAAATTATTATGACATTTTTTTGATTTTACAATTATATACATGACATGTCATTAATTTCTATTTTACAATAATTATACTTCTGTAAATATATCTTCAAACTGCTTAAATATTTTATTGATGGGATAAACAAATAAAGTTCCCACAATTCCATATCGTTTTTAAGGATGAATCGCGATTTAGTGTTCCGCAAAACTCCCTGAAGCCTATTTTTATTTTTTGTTTTCAAAAGTTTTCTAGACCATGCAACAAGTTTTTTGACCGTGATATAGTTTTCTACAGTTGGGATGTCTTTAAAATTTTTAATGGCCGTTACTCTTTTTTTAATTATGTCATCACATGAGTTATCCCACCATGGTATCTGGTATTTGTTTTTACTATTGCCTTTTAAATTTGGAATTGTGGGCAATGGAATGGTACATGGACCCATACCAATTTTACACATTGTAAGAGTGTTCATTATTTTTAAAATGGATACAAAACTTATTACAAGTTTCTGTACCGATTTCGTGGATTTTTCCGCAGATTTTGCATTTTGCATTGCTGCGGCATTGCTTAATATTATGACCATATAAGAGGTATTGTTGGCATTGAAGAACAGGGCTTATATAAGGAGTTACTTTCATTGGTAGGCCATATATAGTTATTTCTTTTGGTATAATTTTTCCAGAGAATGTTACAAAAATCGTTCCAGTTGGAATATAATTTGGTTCCTGTATTTCTTCAACTACTCGTCTGTTAAGTCTTTTAACATTTAGGGGCTTGCAAAAAGCCAGTTAAGTATTTATGGCATCTTGTATTTCGTCATCGGTAAGAGATTTTAGAACATGTCTGACAATACCTTTGCAGGACACATTATGTGAAGGGATAAAAACTTCGTAACCAACTGAATCCCAGTCCTCATCATTAATAAATTTATTTGCAGCACTATAATTTAAAAAGGTGGCTCCAATGCGATTTTTTCCTTTGCGGGTAATCTTAATAATTTCTTTAAGTTTAAGGTTGAACACAGTTTTGGCTATGTTAAGGATATGAAGGTTACCAATATTCTTGTCTTTTCCTTGTACATAGACTTCAAACGGGCCTACGTCGGTATTTGAGTACAAGACTTTTTGTTTCGTTAGGTGATTGGGATTGGGGATATCAGGCGGTTCTCCAGGCGGCTGCCTAGGCGGCTTATCAACCGCCATTTTCGGCTGGCGCTGTCTTGCTTCTTAGGTTGTGCGCGATTACTTTCGGTGGGAACTGGGAAACTATCAACTGCAACGGATTCGGAAGGGGTAAAATGAAGCTAATTGAACAAGAGTTCACTAAAGCTTTTTGTAATTAAGCAGAAAATTACGAAAATTACTAACAAACGATGTGATTACTACGTCTGTCAGTATGACTTACTCAATTGACTTACCCCTTACAAACAAACGAGATCAAAAAAATTTGTAGGAATTGTAGGTTATGTTATTTCTTCTATTTTAGTTTGAGAATGTTTTTTGGCCTAACATTCAACATTAGTGCGTTTGGTAGCGAATTATTAGATCGGCATCTGGGAAAAATTCATATAGGTATGTATATAAACTTGTTTTTACATGTATTTGGTGTTAATTTTTACCTGCAAGCATTTAGAACATTCTCAGAATATGAGGTACATGTTGGGTATATGACTTTTAGTATCTTCTAAGAATGTCCTGTTATAGGACGTGCTCAGTATATACTTTTTGGAATATACTTTTAAGGTGCGTACTCAGTATATACTTTCTAGAATATACTTTCAAAGTATATTCTAGGTATGTTCTAAGAACATTCTAAAAGGATATACTAAAAAGAACTTAAACAGAACGTTCTTGGTATATTCATAGAACATTGATGTTATGTAGGTTTGTTTTTTACGACTAACACATAAGTACTAGGACTTTACAACATCGTTGCTCAAAGAATTTTTCATTATGTGTATGGGAGAGACGATCCTTAATGTTAGGACGCTCGAATCGCTCTGCCGGCTTTTTATGTTTTTATGAAAGACACATATAATTACGTCACTCCGATCAGTTTCGCGCGCGAGATACCTTAGTTTGGTCACGTATGCGCCTGTAAATAACCGTTGAAGATGAACACCTTGCTTTTTGAGAACAGGACCGTCTTTTGTATGTTTTAAAATTTTTTATTTTAGAACATTAGTATTGTTGACAATGTCCGGATAATTATTCGATTACCATAGGATAGTTCTTAGAATATTCAGATATTTTCAATAAATCTAAAAAATAAAAACATTTACAATTTGTGTATTATTTTTATTGTCTATAATAGTTGATAAAAAAAATTATAATAATATATATAAATTGCAAGAGATATTTATCTAATTTTGTCACCATTTGTTGAGTTTTGAAGGAGCATCATATAAGAATAAGACGTTTTTAGAAACTGAAAAATAAAAAAAAATAGTTAAAATATTTATTATATGCTAGATGTTGAACAGTTCTACGAACTCACTCAGGGCAGGTTACAAAGGTGTAATAAACCTTTAAACTTAAGCTTTATTTAACATTAAACTTTGACATACATTAGCATAATGATAAATAAAAATAAATAAATAAATAAATAAATAGACACCAGTTAGAACATACTATAAAATAACAAACAGGTATAAAAAAGGGATAACGGTTTTTATTTTAATAAGGATAATTTCCAGACCGTAGCAGAATTTTACATAAATAAAAATCTTCCTTGGTGTATTCTGTCATAAATTTTATTTAATATCGTTAGCACCACGCTACATATGTTTCGGAAAATTTTGTTTCCATCTTCGGCTGCAGTCAAAATTTAAAAACATTAAAAAAAAAACACATGGGGACGATTACAAACCGTTTAAAATTTTTAAAATATCAGAAAGCCCATCTTTTTGTTTCAATGTGTGAAGGTGTATTCGAAATATTTCGATTGACGATTTTAATGCTCTAACGGCCGATTCCACCGTTGTGTTAAACGGAGATTAAAATGATATTGTTAATGTAAAACTGTCATTTTAAACTTCGTTTAACACAACGGTGGAATCGGTCCTAAGTAAGCAGCTTTTCCTCGCCTCAATGAAACTAACGCAAAATTACGAAGTCCCTTGTGGTGACTTTAAATATCAAATTTTTACTACCTAGAATCTTTTTTAGGGGAAACTCAAATTTGGCACAGTGAGCCTTTTAGATATTTTTTATTATTTATATAATTTCTTTTCAGAGGAGTATTCCTCATTGGCAAGGACATGTTACAAACCTATAATAATCATAAATTAAAGAATAAATACATTAGAAAAGCATTACAAATATTCTGTCCTCTAGTCTACAATTAAAAGTAATTGAATCAAAAACTCACACTTTGATTTTTACTATCGCTATGTATAATTTTAATAGTAAATCTTTCTTAACCTATAATATTTATACTCACCGTATGAAATAACATATAATCAAATGATCCCATAGGTAGAGCTTGAAACCTTATTGGTTTTCGACTTCTTCTTATAATCATCATCAGATTTTTTTGCATTTTTGTACTTGCCTTTAACCAGTTTGATTCGTACACCGTATTAGCTAAAGATGTACTCTAAAAATAATGAAAGAGGTATAAAAAATAGAATAAAATCCCATAAACACTTCAAGTAGGTATTAACATTGATTCATAATATTTTACTAGGGGTCCTATTATACAACTGATATTTTCAGCTGATGATCTAACCAACAAATCTTGATTTTTTTTTATTGTCAGATAGCTTCACATACGCTGCTAAATTCTTCCAGGATTTCCTCATGTGTGGTCCTGATCTACTTCAACGCTTTGTCCTTTTTATTCAAGAATCAAGAAACAACAGGAATTAAAAAAAACCACATAATTAACTATCGTTTTTTTTTCGGTAGTGTTACCTGGTGTTACAATTTAAAAATTTAAAACTTCAAGTGTTCAAGTTTAATATTAATAAGCAGTTTCGATGCATTCATGCAGTAAAACATTATTTTACTTACTTCATCCATAAGTCTTTGACCACCATGACACAAAAAAAATAATGTCACAACATTTCCAATTAGAAATAAAGTTGCTCCGAATGGTTTATTCTAAAATAAATATTAATAATAATAAAAAAAATACTCAAATTACTTTACATAACAAAAACTGTGCCTGCACCTTTGACAATTTTTATTTGAGGGTGAATAAAATATTTGGCAAATAAAAAGTTGTACAAAAACAGCTAGAGTTATAAATTTCAAAACAAATATTTTATTTTTAAAGTTTTTTTATTGAAGTACAAATACATTTAAATGGATATTCAAGACAACTCTGGACTAAAGCCTATACTAGGCATACACGCAATTTGATGTAATGACTAGTGATGCCGCGAGACAAGAGTCTCGTCTCGTAGGGCGAGAGAAAACTGTTCTCTCGTCTCGACGAGAAGGCGCTTCTTTCGCTCGAGAGAGCCTTTTTCTCGTCCCGTCTCGTCTCGTTTCTTTCGTGATAAAACAATATCAAATTTAAATTTAAAAAAGACGAAACATGAAAAAACGGTAAAATTTGTAAGACAAAAACAAATAATTTTTTAAGTAATTTGCGCATTAGTACCCAAATTTGGCAATAAGAAACAGTTATGTATTTCTGTCTGTCCGTCTGTCACAGTCGTTTTACAATTGAAATTTGAAGTAATAAGTGTTACAGATTAGGCGTTAACTAAAAACGAAAATACTTGTAAGTTAGTTGGGGAAGGGGGGAAGAGGCTAAATTGGAAGTTAGAATTTTTCTAATGCAATCCTGCGATGTCAAATAAAAGCATTTTGTAGTATGTTTTCAAAATGCAAGAAGATAGAGAGAAAACAAAAACGACGTGAAATTAGAGAAACATTATGATATTTTTATTATAATGAGATGCACTTTACTTGAGACGTAAAATAGAGTGCGTTACTATCTTTCAATTTTCTAATGGAAATTATAATCATGTAATACCTCATTTGAAAGATATTTTGATTATATTTACGCTCAAGCCAACAATTTTATTTTTTTTTTTATACAAAAATTACATTCTTGATAATCCTCGTGTGCCGCAATAATCCGAGAAATGTTAGATAATGTTAGAAGAGAATTTTTAATAAGCTTTTTTTGCCAAGAAATTATAAAAAATTTAATACGTCAAGTGGTTTTTAAATCACCTTTGATATTCTTAATTTATTTATTTTAGTAAATATAAGAAGCATTTCCTTAGTAATAAACAATAATTGTTAATACGAGAGTTATCAAGAATGTACCTTATTCGTAAAGGCCCAGAACATGTCTGTACAAGAACAAAGTACCATCTACAAAAAAATTGCCATTTGTGCAGTGTTAAATCCCTCTAACAGTAAAAATAACTAAAATTTATAAAAGATACTGACATTTACTCTGTAGGGGAGAACGTTGAAATGGTGGTCAGTTAAGCCAGATCGCACATAAAACAGAAAATACAGCGTTGTGGTCAAATGTAAATAGTGTAGCCTCAACAATCCACTAGACTGTGGTATACCACTTAAATTAAAATAGTACACAACAAAAGAGAAGTAAGATCTGAAACAATGTCATAACATTGACCACTATTCCCCCACTCTGCGGTTAATACCTGTCAGCCAATTTTCAATGCTTTTTAAATGGGGATTACATATTTTTAGAAAATAATGAAACAGTAGTTGCTAGAAAAGTATAGTAAGGTATTTTATTGTAGGCAATAATGAAAAAACAAGTGACAACTTAAAAAACGATATAAACAATAATAAAAATCAAATAATAATAATAATAATACAATAGATGATAAAGAGGTATGGAAAAGTTTCACTTTCGTAGACAAACATCGCACTTGTAGTTTTCAGCAGTGTCCCAACCGCTACATAACTCCATAAACCCAATGGCCGCACACTATACAGCGGTACCACAACTCACCATCTTTCCCAAATTCCTCGCAAATGAGACATATTTTATTGCTTTGTTCGCTGTCCATGTCATCCACTTCATCATCCGGACACAGCGTTTTTTCATCTATATTTTCTTCATCTGATGAATCGCTTTGCAACAATTTTTTCTTGAACTCCTTCTTTTTAAACGTCGCCTTTGGTTTATTTCCTTTTTCTGTTCTTCTTTTTCGTCTTTTTTGTTTCCTTTCTCTATCTTTTCTTTATTTTTCTTCGCCTGTTCTTCAAGCAGCGTCTTTAAAGGACTCTCGGTTAATATCTGCAAATGTTGTTTAGCTCGAGTGACTGATCTTTTATTAGCAGGACTGGCAGAAGCGACTGGTAGAAGGGACTGGCAAAAGGGACTGAGAAAAGATTGTAAAACTTTGAAGCAGGTATAGATTTCAGAATATTATCTGGTTTCTTAAAATCTTTGGAGGTGGAAGGTTGCGCCTCAATAAGGTTACTTATAGGAACAGGGTGTGGTTTTGGAGAACTATTTATTGTAGGACCAAGAGAATCCAAAGCAGTAGTTTTTTTTTGGCCCCAACGGTGTCAGTTTTCTGTCGGATTGCCCTGCATCCAGACTTAATGTTGATGAGCCCTCATTGATAGAATCATCAACAGAATTATCGACATCATTACCCATCTCTATTTCTTCGGTATCGTTCCGGTTGTTAAGAGTACATGCTGCTAGGAAGTCTTCATCGGTGAATATATTGGGATTTACTGGATGTATTCCACTTGCTTGAAAGCCGGAAATTCCGGCAGCCATCGTGGCAATTCTTGAATAGGCTTTATTGAAAAGTTCTGCTAAATCGTAAGAGGTTGTTTTTAACAATGCCTTTGACTTCATATAAAGGTCACATTCTCTGCGGAAAGCAGCTTTTAGTGTCCCATATAGGGTAACATCAAGGGGCTGCATTCTGTATGATGCATGAGGTGGTAGAGACAACATGCAGATGCCATTTTCTCTACATAAGTTATAAGTTTGCAATGTGATATGGCTACTATGATTATCTAATACTAATAAAACAGCATTTAGAATATGTTATAAAGTGTTCAATCCACTCGTAAAATAACTGTTCATTTGACCAGCTATTGGGCGAATATTTATAAACAGCACTTGAAGGTCCACCCTTTGCCAAAAGCGGAGACATCCTCTTCCGAGGAAAGATAAAAAATTGAGGTATATAGCTCCCAGCTGCATTCATGCAGCAGATAACTGTAACGGTCTTGCCTCTTTCCCAGCTTGTTACAGAACCAATACGTTTTTTTCCTTTGGTTGCGACAATGGTACCAGGATCTTGAACGGTCGATATCCCAGTTTCGTCGACATTGTATATTTGGTTTGGCAGATATTGAGTTTTAGACATTACTCCTTTCAAATTTTTGTAGAATTTTGCTACCTCTTCTCGATTAAAGGCGGTTATCCTATTAATGCTGGTTGCTTTCGGCTTTCGAACACTTATCGTAGGATTCCTCCTTAAAAACGCATAAAACCAGTCCTTTCCTGCCATTTTGGATAAATGGCTAAAATTGTGCTTTATATTGTTACTGGTTACATATTCATAAGCAATTCGTCGGACTTGCTGGGGGCTAACACCATAAAATAGATCTGACAGATATTTTATATGGTTAGCTAGAACGGCTTCTTCCTCCAAAGATAATGTAGTTTGTCTCCCCATACGTGGAGCGGTTGTAAACGGAATATGGAATTTTTTGCTTGCCGATCAATTTGACTGTCCTTCGATAAATTGCAAGGCATTTTGAAGTTGCTCGGGGGTCCACTTAGCTTTGTTTCCTTTTTGTAGGCATCTGTAACAAATAAAACACATTGATTTAAAATTAAAAATATACACCCGACTTAGTCATAGGAAGGCCTGTGGGGTAATACCGGTCACGACTGGTATTACCCCAACCGTTTTGACCAGCATTCCCCGAAAGCAATCCGACGACATAAACCTAACCTAAAATTATTTCTCTTTATTTAAGCGACTGTAAAAGCAGGATCTAAACGACAAGATGCGTTTTAAGACATTCCTTACAATTTCGTGCAAAAAAATAACTTATTTGGGTACTTACGTTGGTTTAAGTTCGTCAGAATATTACAAGAAATCCTGGCAATAGCTTGACCACAACAACAGATGTCTTAGACTGGAGCCTTGAAAGTGAAACCCGGTGAATTTAACTTGTACCACTGCATAATAGATGGCGCCACATAGTTTGGGCGACTACGTTTGTAGCGGAAAATTACTAGTGACAGGAATTATCCACCCCACTGGGATTCCCCCACTCTCCCCTACTACCCAAAATGTTAATTATCCATTGTATACTATTGTAGAAAACAGCATTTATAAAGTATTATACCTCCGGTAATGATCCTGTGAGGTTGAAGCGGCAAATAAAAAAAGAATTTAACCTACTTTATAAATTTATTTAATGTAATTTCTGAAAAAACATAAAACCTAAATCTGATTACATGAACGTAAAAATATAGAAATTATCTTTCAAATGAGGTATCACATGACCCTACTTTCAATTAGAAAATTTAAAGCTAGTAACTCTCTCTATCTTACGTGTCTCAAGTAAAGTGCATTTTGTTATAACAAAAATATATTATCTCTTGAGTTTTACCTCGTTTTTGTTTTGTCATTATCCATTTTCATTTAGAAGTTAAAATAGAAGAGGGACAATTTTCGTCCTCACTGTATATAATACATTCGTTTGTATTACCTTTTCTTTGACAGATTTTTGAAAAAACACTTAAAAATTTTGCAACTTATCTTTAAAAGTATTTTCAACCGATTGATTAAATATAAGAAATGATTGTATAAATTTTAAATAAATGAAATAAGAAATATTTCACTATTTATAAAATTCTAATAACACAAGTATCATTTGTAACCACTTCATATATATAGAATTGGTGTGTTATAGTTAATTTTTTGACTATCTCGAAATCAAATATGTTAAAATTTTGAGTTACGATAAGCAATTGAAAATTTCAATTAAGCAAAGAGAAAATTGTTCGAGAGCCCGAGAGAGCTCGAGAGAAACGAGAAATTCTCGTCGAGAGATGACTCTCTCGTATCGTCTCGTCTCGAATCTGTTTTCGAGGGAAAATGTCTCTCTCGTCTCGATTGAAATGAGACAAAACGAGACGAGAGACGAGAATCACTTGTCTCGCGGCATCACTAGTAATGACAATATATTTAGATCATGTTTGAATACATGTACAAAATTTATAATAGCATACTTATAAAATTCCCATCTAAAATTTAGACTGAGATGAGCACAAATTAAAAAGATGGTTAAATGATGAAGAAACTTGATAGAGAAAATTATCAGTATATTAGTACACATAATGTAATTTGACAAATTACCTTTATTCCATAATTATGACTTACATTACTAATAATTTGATTTCCAATACATCCCAAAATTAGAGCAGCAATGAGAGAAACATGACCTAGAGTTTTTTTCACCAGAAAGTTCAAATCGTCTCCAATTCTGTTAAAAAAAAACTTATTGTTACCAATAGAGATACATTTTAATGGATTTATCTAACAGTATATTAGAATACAATAAATACTATCTAACTACAAGTGGCACACAACATGGGAAACTTAATTCGTCGGCCTAATGTGAAAATTGCATAAGTCCAATTTTTCACAATATTGGTTTTTAGCTCCATCTGTTAGAAAAGCAGCGTATCTATACATCCAAATAAAAAAACTATGCAAAAAGTATTTAGATGGCGCTAGAAACAACAGTATGAAATGCAGACGACACTAAAAACCGCGGAAACCTCGGAACATCCGGCCAACGCTTTGAAGGACATAACTAACGATAGCTCTGGAACATTAACTAGTGATTCTGTAGAATTAAACAAGACAATAAAACGGTTCAAAGAAAAAGATCAAGACAATCAAACTGATACAAAGAGCGCGGAAAATGAAAAGTGTTTTGCAGAAGAAAACGAGGAACTGCAGTCAGCTCTAACAGAATTACAAAAAGAAATTCATATGACACAAAACATTTTAGACATAGGGAATAACAATGATTTGTCATCTAGCTTTCTCAACAATGCAATAATATCCGGCATAGAGCAAACGGATATTATTACAAACTATGATAGTTTTATTTTTGCAATACCTTAGGACTTTCTATGAGGACCATATCAGCATGGATAAAAGATGAAATGTCTAGCCCAACCAAAAGTGAAGAACAGAAACGTGACAAAAATATTAAAAAAAAACGTTTTGATGAAGAAAGGATAAATTTGAAAAAATTCTTTGAAGAACTGCCTAAACTTGAATCACACTATTATCGCAAATCGTCAACAAAATTATCAAAACCAAATCGGAGCTTTATTTACTTTATAGAGATAATTGGTGTGTAGAACATAATGTAGCTCCCTTATCCATTGCCACATTCTCAAACATGTTTGAAGATCTGAATCTTGCATTGTTTTTGCCAAAGAAAGACGAATACGATGTCTGCGTAGGCTACAAGACCAAAAACGTAGAGGAATCTGTCTAAAGGGAACACATTATCAAGAAAGAAGAAGCACGGGAAGCAAAAGCAGAAGACAAAAATTCCAAAAATAGTGTATTTACGATGGACTTCCAGTCCGTACTGTTGTACCCGAAATAGAACGTATTAGCTCTGTATTATCGAATGAAGCTTATTGTACACAATTTTACAGTCTTTGATTTGCATTCTAAAGATGGCTATTGTTTTCTCTGGCACGAAGGTCAAGGGGAGCTCAGTGCAAACTCTTTTTCATCAATAATTTGTAACTTCTTGATTAATAATGTAATTCCCCATCTTGAGCCAATGCAACAAATAATATTATATAGTGACGGATGTAGCGCTCAAAATCGTAATTGCACTTTAAGCAACGCCTTGTTGAATCTTGCTCTCGAAAAACATGTTTGGTATCATCCAGAAATATTTAGAAAAAGGTCACACCCAAATGGAGTGTGACTCGATGCAATTACACGGTAGAACCATTAATTTGCCAGCTGATTATGTCTCCCTATGTAAATTGGCTCGAAAAAATCCTAGACCGTATGAGGTGAGCTATTTGGATTATACTTTTTTCAAAGACTTTACTAAACTTAATTTAATAAAATCGATTAAACCTGGATTTAAAGTTGGTGATCCAACTGTCAACAATCTTAGAGCTCTGAAGTATAATCCAGATGGTAAAATCGAGTTTAAGGTTGAACATTCCGAGGAGTTTCAAGATATGCCTATGAGATTAAAACCAAATTTAAATTATATATCAATTGACTCTCTTCCCTTATTGTACAAAGAACAATTGAAAATTAAAAAAGAAAAGTTTAAACATCTTATGTTTTTGAAAAAGTCTCTTGCCAAAAATTATCATGATTTTTATGACAATCTAAGACATGAATAACTTATTAACTATAAGACTTAACCATTTGATTATTTTTTAATATTATAAGTTATGTACTATTATCTTCCAAGTTCTTTAATGTTGTTTTATTAGTAGTTATTTTCGATTTAATAAAAATAATGCCTTAGGTAGGTAAATACTAGCGTTGTTTTATTATGTGAAATTTGCATAAGTCCATCTTTGTACTGGATATAAAAATGAATTTTGCATAACTCCTTTATTTTTCAACAGGTAACTATTATAAAAAAAATCAATACTTGATAGCAGTTCTCTAATGTTTTTTAAATCCAAATTCCACTTTCACCCAAATTACATTATTTTTAAAGAAATAAATTAGTTTTTTTGCTCTCCTGTAAAATTTAGGCAATTTTCAAATTAGGCCGAGGATATCGACTCTAATTTGAAGCTGCAGCTAGAGCCAATAGCTGGACCGAGAAGACGATAGAGTTTTCATTGATAGTGTCATTGCAAAATCAGGCAGCAACCGTTTTACAGTTACTTCCCCAAGAGGAACACAGTTATTCATCTTTCGTCCAAGCTTTGAAGACAAGATATGGCCAGCAGCATTTAAAACAGATATTCCAAAGTCAGTTAAAAGTTTGTAGTCAGAAACATAATGAGAGTCTACAAGAATTCGAGGCCGACATTAAAAGATTGCTGCATCTGGCCTATCCACAGGCACCTAAAGATTTCTTAGAACAAATCGGCATGCAAGCATTCATTGATGGGCTACAGGACGTGGAAATGCAGTAGGCTCTTTGGTTACAACACCACAAGATGTTAAGTGAGACACTTATTGCAGCCCAGGAATACGAAGCAGCAAAAAGTATATCAAGAAAGTGAAGAGGTCACTACTAATACTATCCCTCAACCTACCCTCTCACAAATCTTAAATATCCTGCAAAGTATGCAACGAAATAGCCGAAACGAAAGCAGAAGATGCTTCAATTGTGGAAGAATCGGACACCTTTAAAAAACTTGTCGAAGCAGGGCTTGTTCTATAAATCGAGAATCGGAGAATGATACCAGAAATTCACCTTGATCAACTTCCCGAAGCCCGTCACGAGGTACATCAAGAAATAATTACAGCATATATGCCTCCCGGAGAAAGAGAAGCTGATCACCCACATCTAGATGGCTTTTTAGCAATAGTCAGGGAAACGAATGAAGGTTGACAGTACGGAGCAGGCGTCGGCTCTAACAGAGAGCCCCAAAATTCGCACTTACACATTAAATGAAAACGTACAAAATCTATTGGTCAAGGGGTATATCGATAACCGAGGAGGCACCTTCGTCCTTGGTACTGGTGCAACTAAGTCTTTCATTCGAACAGGGATCCTGCCTCGAAAACCACGATCAACTCGAAAAAGCTTAGTTCTGGAAACAGCTACAGGGCACACTACTCCTGTTCTAGGCGAGATATCAGCAACGGTACAAATTGGTAATGTCCTGATAGGTTTCTGGTGGCCGATATTAAGGATCAGTGTGTCCTAGGTATGGACATTATGCAAAATAAGTTTAGCAGTAGGTACTCTAATTGTTAAAACTATATAATCCAACAGAACGCTCAATATTTGTCATAAGTTATGTATTAAATCTAATTATCATTTAAGTTAAGTGCGTAGGAAAACATCATCAAAGGATTTTGTAAAAAGTCCAGAACAACAACCGAAGTGTATAAACTGCTTAATGGAACATCCTGCTAACTACAGATGATGTGAGTTAGCTAAAACCTTTCAGATAAGGAAGGATAACACCACTAAACCTTAAACAATGGCGAGGCAGAAAAGATCCATAAACGCTTTTCCTACTGTCAGAAATGAAATAACATATTCTCAGGTAACAAACTCACAACACCAACCAATTCAAAAGTCACAACCAGCCATGAATCCCACGCCACAAATTGCACAGCATACTGCATAGTCAACCAGCTTAGCAGAAAGTACTACTATCCTTAATAACCAGAATAGATTCACTCTCTGACAGGCTCCAGAAGCTAGAAGAATTAAACAAACCCCAAACATATAACAAAACCACCAATGGACAAAAGAGATATTAGAATAGCTACTTGGAATGTCAATGGTATTCTCCAAAACCAAACTGATATCCAAGTTTTCTTGGACGTACAAAAAATAGATATATGTCTGCTTTCTGAGACCCACCTTACAACAGAGTCATACATTAAATTAACTTCTATCACACTATCCATCCAACAAATGCAGCAAGAGGAGGAAGTGCGTTAATTATTAAAAATAACATTTCCCACTATGAAGAACCAGGCATCCAAGAACAAGAAAATCAGGTAACCATTAGCACCATTAACATTAAGGGGGTAAAATTACAATAACTGCAATCTATTGCCCACCTAGATACAACCAGAAAAAAGAAAATTATCTAAATGTACTCAAAAAACTAGGTAACAAATTTATAATCGCTGGAGATTATAACTCCAAAAACACCAAGTGGGGTTCAAGATTAACCACAGTCAAAGGAAAAGAATTGCATTGAGCTGCATCAGAACTTGGTTGTACATACCAATCTTCTGAAAAACCCACCTATTGGCCCACCGACCCAAATAAGATTCCAGACCTTCTGGACTTCTATATTCTGAAAAAAATTTCACCAAACTATACGCAAGTAGAAGAAAACTTTGATATGGATTCAGACCATGCTGCAGTAATCCTTACTCTAAGTGATAATGTTATTTAAAAAGAAGCCAAACCGACCCTAGGAAATCGGAAAACTAATTGAGAAGGTTTTCAAGAGGACTTAAATACTATTCAACTGACCATAACACTAAAAACGAAAAATCAGCTAGATGAAGAACTGGAAAGGTTTATAGTTGAAATCCAGCAAGCTGCATGGAGGAACACACCAAAAGTAAGAAGATTAACAGCTGGAGAAACTATCCTGTCGAGATAAGAGAACTGGTAGCAGAAAAAAGAAAACTAAGAAAGAAATGGCAGATTACAAGATCACTAGAAGATAAAAATATATTTAGTAGGGCTACCCAAAGACTGAGAAGAAAAACCCTAAATCACAAAGAAGAATCCTTCAACAGATACCTAGTAGGGCTAACAGATGATAAAGAAACTGATTATTTACTCTGGAAGGCAACTAAAAAGATAAACAATTTGTGTAAACACTGTCCTCCAATCAGAATAGTAGATAACAAATGGGCAAGAGACAATCAACAAAAAGCTGATATTTTCGCTGACCACCTACAAAAGACGTTCCAATTAGATGAATATCAAGACACTCCTAATGAGACCATCCATAATATGGAACAACTTGAAATTAAGCTAGTTACTCCCAATGAAGTTATGAAAGAAATTCAGACGAACATCAACTTACAGGAAGCCCCAGAATATGACCTGGAGAAATATTAAAGAAACTACCACGGAAGGCTATTGTTAAATTGACAAACCTCATAAATGCAGCATTTCGCCTTAAATATACACCTGATGCGTGGAAAACGGCTGAAGTTATCGTAATTCCTAAGGCAGGAAAACCTCTGAATTAAGTGTCATCATATAGACCTATATCATTGTTACCGATAATATCTAAGTTATTTGAAAAACTACTACTAAAACGACTAAAACCAATAATTGAAAATAAAAATCTGATCCCTTCGCACCAATTTGGTTTTAGAAACAAACACTCGACAATAGATCAAGTACACAGGATAGCCGATATCATCGAAAAAGATTACGAAGAAAAATATATATGCTCAGCTATATTTCTTGACGTAGCCCAAGAGCATTTGACAAGGTTTGGCACGATGGCCTAATACAGAAACTTGAAAAAATGCTCCCTAGACAATATGTTGAAATTCTACAATCATATCTAACAGGAAGAATGTTTAGAGTAAAGCAAGACGAGGCATACTCCGAAATGAAAGAAATTAAAGCAGGTGTCCCACAAGGCAGTGTGCTAGGACCGGTTCTTTACTTATTATACACCAGCGATATCCCTCAACAACAATCTATTAAAATAGCAACATTTTTACCAAGAGTAATGGATATTCCTTAAGGACTCCAGGATTCTATGGCTAGTGACAGTGCTGCCCCATTTTTTAGTAGTATATTAGTGATTACATAATATTGTTACATAAGCCTTTCACTCTTCAATCCTGATGTTTAGTGTATCTATACACCAGGTATTTGATACAAATTAAGTCCAAGTTCTTATTTATTTTAACTAATTATCAACTTTCATTTATTATATTATTAATTTTTTAAACTACTTACCCAATAATATATCTATGATAAAGGACAATCTCTCTGATATTACTTTGTGAATCCTTGTGTTCAAAAAATTCATGTATTTTGCTCTTAAGATGAATTAAGTGATAAATTAAAATATCCGCCGCTTCGAAACAAGTACAATAAATTAAGGCTCCAGGAACCAATGCCAACACACCGGCAAAAATTTGCAAAATGTAAATTATCTTCACCATAAACGGTGATACTTTTACTGGTAGTTGAAATGGTGTCATAGTTCCGCACAGTTTGTATTCGTTCTTTATTTTACTGCAATCAGATTCTAACTGTGAAACTAAGCCATAAGAAAAAACACCACACAAGGTATAAACCATCATTACTTTGGAAAACAAACTCAGTTGTCTTATTCGCTTGTCTATTCCTGAGGGTTTGCCAAATTTTTCGAAATTGCTTATATTGATAAATAAAGCTGCCCATCGTTTGGACTGATGAGCGAATAGTTGCAAGGATAAATTTACACCAATTCCAGAAGCTACTATAACAAAGTTTTCGCTGATATCGTCTCCGGTGTGATCTGAAAAATAAATGTGTCAAATTTTATGAAAAAAATCATTCCAACAAGATTCTTTAATTGTGAAGTTTAGTAAAGTCTAAAATGTGTAAGTAGAATCTGCTGCACACTACTGATAACTTGTTGTACTGCAATTAGTTAGAAATATAACTAATAATAATTTATTCAACCAATCAAATTAAAATACAATTTAACCCTTAAACCGAAATACCGATCTCTCAGACTTTTACTATAGTTTTATTTTGCGTTGTGGCAAAGTCACTTCGCCTAGAGATATCCCTTCCATAGTACCTTCATACCATTCAGTTGAGTATATTTTGGCGGTATGAGAATTTAGTTTCCAGCCGCCTGTTCTGGATAAAGTATTGTTTCTTAAAAACTTGCCGGTACTGCAGACCGGATGTTTCTGTTTGCAATCTAAAATTAGAAGGTATGTTTCTGTTAGTGTACAGTTTTATATTTCTGTATAAATTATTTCCTTTCAAGGTATGGAAAAACACATTTATTTATTTTTCCTACGACCACTTAAGAAAGTGACACATATCACACTATATAGACCTATGGAAAGTGCCCTATATCACACGCGTATGAATAAGAATTTACTTTCCACCCAAGTGAGAATATGCTACTTTCCGCAGTAGCTGTCAGAAAATGTCAAACACATAATTTCTATTTTGATCTATGTAATGTCCATATTAATACTAAAATCGATATGATTGTTAAATTATTGTAAATTAGATCCTAGATATTTATCTTTAACAATTATTTTTAAAATAATTTTAAAATAACTAAGATATATTTGCTTTTTATTCTGGTTAAACACATAAGCGATTAGATCAATCAATTACCGTAAGGCCTGTTAGCTCAGTTGGTTAGAGCATCAACTTTGCAATTTGAGACCGTCCAACGACCGCGATCGAATCCTGGCTGTGCCAGATTTTTTTTTTTATTTGTTTGGAAATTATGAAAATTTAATAAATACGATTATTGTTGATTATTTTTTTAAATACATTTTAATTATTATAATAATCTGGTTTTACATTTTTTGATGAAATTATTTTGTGGTCGTAGGAAAAATATTGTACATCACTTGTGTGGAAAGTGACATTTTTCACACGAGTGGGAAATATTGTCGCACGAGGCGTAAGCCGAGTGCGACTATCACACGAGTGTGGAAAATCACTTTTCACACAAGTGATGTACAATATTTTTCCTACGACCACAAAATAATGTAATATACTATTTTTTTTTTTTATAAATTTATAATGGACATTTCAAGCACAAGTAAAGGCAATCCTGCTAAAGCATACCGAAATGAGAGAGTACGTGCGTGCGATAAAGATTTCGAAGAAAAAGTTATGAAATGGTATATGGAAAGTGATAGTGAATTCGAAGATGTTGACGATTCTGATAGTGATCCAGATTATATTATGACAGATAAGAGCGATGAAGAAATTGAAGAAGAGACAAATACTAAAAACAATCAGAGAAATAAAACACTTAGTGAAAATACCTCGGAAAATAGTGATCAGGAGTGCGACCTTTTGGAAACAAACCAAGAAATCGTTGCCATGGATAACAATGATGACGTAGGGAACGTGCAATTTTTCATCGAAAAAAATAACAAAAAAGATTTTCTATGGAGTAAGCAACCACCACCTGCAACCAGAAGAGTACCAAGTCATAATATAATTAGACAGATGCCTGGACTGACGCGAAAGGCTAATAATTTTGGCAATCCAACTATACCTGAAATCTGAAAGTGCCTGTTTGACCAACAAATGGTTGATAAAATAGTTTTATACACAAATGAGAAGCTATCATCTGTAAGAAATAAGCTCAAACCAGAAAGTAATGTTTCGAACTACCGAAATACCGACACAATGGAAATCAATGCTCTTATTGGCTTACTTATGTATACCTCTATTTTCAAATCTGGCCACGAAAATATGGTTTCACTTTTCTCTAAAGATCTATATTTAGAGCAACAATGTCTGTTAAATGATTTGAAATACTAAACACCTGTCTTCGGTTCGACGATGCCACGACACGTGAAGAAAGAAAAAAAATGGATCGTGCTGCTGCAATAGGACTTTTCATCACATTTTTTTTTGTGCGCATGCGTTAGTATCAGCCATCTTTTTCGTGCTGTTTTTTGTACACAAGCATGTTAAAATGTCCACGTAAAAAAATATAATCGATAAATATTAATTTTAAGTGTATTCGTTTAAAAAATGGGATAAAAAAAGTAAAATAATAAAAGTGTCTTAATTGAAAAATCAATTTTTGCAAATAATTAATTATGTATTCTTTACGGAAAGGAAAACTAAACGGTATTATTATGAGTATGTAAAAGTGACACACGGTATAAATTATTATTTTATAAAAATACATATTAAAACATGTTCAAAATAAGCATTATGAGTGAAAAAATGTGGTCGAAGTGACAAAGGTTTTCGATCGATTGATGGATGATGTTACTAAAGATACATATATTTGTTCACTACATTTCCATGGAGAAAGTGGTTCAACAGAAGAAAATCCTTGTCTGGTATTACACAATATTTTTAACCGACTTCAAAAAAGGAGGAGGTTCTCAATTCGTCGCGATATTTTATTTTTTTTTTATGTATGTTCAGCGATAATTCTTTAACACGGTGTCCGATTTCAATAATTTTTTTTTGTTAGAAAGAGGGTACTTCAGGGGTGGTTCCATATAAATTTGGTTAAGATGTGGTGATGGCATCTACACGTTTTTGAAGTAGGTTTTTTTTAATTTTTAATTTCTAATACTTGTTTAATATTAAATACTACTTCGGTACGCACAGTAATATTGTTACGCAGCACCCTGCAATAGCCTGCAGCTATCATAGGAAACGTACAGATAGAAAAAGAAGTGGAATGTTACTCATCACTCTACAGTCTGCTGCGGTCGTCATAAGTAAAAGTACAAGTAAAAGAATATTCCAGAAATGTCCAGAAATGTCATTACCCGTCAAGAACATTCTAGATGACAAGTCGAGAAGGTCAAAAAAGCTATATAAGTTGACGACCTGACGTCAGAGTTTTAGTTTTATGATAGACGTTATACGTCAATGTTATCAGTTGTAAAGTTATTGTCAAAGTTGAATTATAGTTATTGTAAAGTTCAGTTGAAATAAATTGTGATACCAAAAACCAGCGTAACATTGGTGACAGCGGAGGAATCTAAACTAAAAGTTCACGGTAAATACCAGATCTACCGAGTACGAAGCAGAAATGGACACTTCAGGCCCACCAGCATGGTTTTTGAAGATGGAAGAGGAGAGAGTAAGGCGAAAAGAGGAAAAGGAACGGCGTAGGAAGGAAGAAGAGGAGGGAAATGGAAAGGCGAGAAGAGGAGAAAGAGAGACACAGGATGGATGAAGAAAAAGAGAAGAAAGAGAGGCGTAGACAAGAAGCGGAAGAAATTATGAATGGTTTGCTGCAAATTCAAGAGACCTTCAAACAAGAGGTTAGTCAGCTTAAAATTAGAATAGATCTGCCAGAGCAACAACAAGAGCATCTATAAGCTAATTTAGAGAAACAGCAAGAGAATTTGAAAGCTAATTTAAAACAACAAGAACAGGCTAGACTAGAGTTAGAAAGGCAAATTAGAGCCGAAATGGCTGAGTTAGAAAAAAGAATTTACAGCCAAGCTTCATTAAACAGCATTGAAGCTGCAAACACTACTACCTCGTCTTCATCCATAACCGAACCAAGCCGCATTCGAATCCCAGTTTCACAAAACTATACTAGCAAGACCCTGAAACCACCCACGTTTGACGGTCAGACAACATGGGAATTATATCGACTCCAATTTGAAGCTGCAGCAAGAACCAATGGATAGACCGAGAAAGAGATGGCGGCTTCATTATTGGTGTCACTGCGAGGTCAGGCAGCAACCGTTTTACAGTTACTTCCTCAAGAGGAACCCAGTTATTCATCTCTCGTCCAAGCTTTGGAGACAAGATATGGCCAGCAGCATTTGCAACGGGTATTCCAAAGCCAGCTAAAGGTTCGTAGTCAGAAACATAATTAGAGTCTACAGGAATTCGAGGCTGATATAAGAAGGTTGATTCATCTGGCCTATCCACGGGTGCCGAAAGATTTCCAAGAATACAAGCATTCATTGATGGACTACAAGATGCGGAAATGCAGCAAGTCCTTTGTTTGCAATATCACAAGACACTGAAGGAGAAACTGATTGCAGCCCAGGAATATGAAGCGGTAAAACTCATATCCAGATCTTCTTGCGCAAAAATGAGAGAAATTAAATCCCAGGAAAGTGAGGAGACCCATACTAATGCTATTCCCCAACCTACTCTCTCGCAAATAATAAATATCCTGCAAAATATACAACGAAATAACCAAAATAAGAACAGAAGATGCTTCAATTGCGGAAGAATCGGGCACCTTCAAAGAACTTGTAGAAGCAGAGCTCGTTCTATAAATAGAGAATCAGGGAATGAAGTCGGAAAATCACAAAGATCAATCTTCCGAAGCCCGTCATGAAGTCCAACAAGAAATAGTCCCAGCAGCCATGCGTCTTGAAATAGCCAATCACCCACACCGAGCCGGTTTTCTAGGAATAATCAGGAAGTAGAGCATCGTAGAGTCCATCTGTATAGCAATGCAGACATTCTCTCCAGGCGACCCTGTTTAGAACGAGAATGCCAGTACAGTAAGGGACTCGGAGAACAGGAGGAACCAGTTGATAAAGTTACCCTTCGGGCAACTACTATCAAGCTAGAGGGCGGCGAAGAAGAAATCACCCTTAAGAGTCTGAGACAGGGACAGAAGAAAGACAATGACTTAAAGGTTGTCCGAGAATGGCTGAAAAATAAAATCACACCTACTTGGCAAGAGATAGCCAAATACAGTAGAACTATAAAAGGCTACTGGACCCAGTGGGATTCCCTGTATCTTCACCATGGCGTATTGCACCGGAAGTGGGAGAGCCCCGATGGAGTACATGTAGTCCGCCAAGTGATACTGCCGAGGTCACAGGTGAGAAATGTATTGGAGAAGCTTCATAGCAACCGTTCAGGAGGACACTTTGATACTAAGAGGACACTGACACGAGTTCGGGAAAGATTTTATTGGGTCAACTGCCGACGAGATGTAGTGGATTGGTGTAAAAGATGTGATGTATGCAATGATAGGACAAAGGTCTATGGATTCGCTCGTCAATGTTTGAAAGTTAATAGCGATAAGGTAAAAGCTAGAATCGACATGCATGCCAAAGGGACACATTTTAAGAGAGGCGATCCAGTATGGCTGTACAATCCCAAGCGCCGACAAGGACTTTGTCAGAAGCTGCAACGTAACTGGGAAGGTGTAACCTTCCAAATCGGTTAAAACTACTAAATTAATGAAAAATGAAAAGATAAGCAAATTACGCATACCCGGTGATATGTGATCATTTTTCAGGATACTCGCGGCTAAGCTTCAGTGGAGACGGGTGTGGTCCACAAAAAATAATATGAATGTTAATGTAGGCGCCAGATAAATTTACACAAGTATCTAAGAGGTCCTTATCGACCATAACTTACCAAAAGGTCAATAACTTAAAATACACCAACTCGAGTACGTAAATGAAACTATTATACTTAATACAAGCTATTTATTTAAGAGCTATTAAACATGTTTAAAAAAAATGAACATATATCTAGGACTAAGTCCAAGGCAACGACTGAAATTCGTAATACCGAACCTAAATAAAAAAAAAGAATAAACAAACCTATAAATTCATCCAAATTCCATGTGTGAATTGAGCCAAAATATATTAACAGTAGCGGTAGCAATTAAGAAATAGCAAGTAAAGCAAGTATGATTATTATACATTATACCTAATAATAGCAATAATGCAATAGTAACAAAGTCACAAATAACTAATGGTTATTTTGCTGGTCTTAAGGCGAAAAGAAAAGAAAAGGGAACCGATAATAAAGAAAAATAATAACGATTCTACACCGCTTGAGCTCAGGCGCATGTGCGTTAGATCCTAAAAGGCAAAAATTTTGTTTAATGATTTCGCTCCTTAGAGACCGCTAACAAGTAAATATGTATCATTAAAAGCTAGCCATAAGCAGAAATCGTAACAATAGGCGAAAAAAGCTGTACAAGCAATGACATAAAAAAAATATTAATAAGAGAAAAAAAAATTAATAAATAACTTGCGTGCATCCAAAACGAAACCAGCATCAAGTGGAGGCTGATCCAGAACTTACCCAACAGATCAAAGTAAGCGTATATATAAATAAAATAAAAATATACTAATAACTAAAAAAAAATAAGCGTTCCTTGTCTACAGCGAAAAACTAGACCATTCTCGCTAATCAAATAGATCATTAAAAATAATCACAAGAAACAAAGAAATATTTTAAATCTGGCAACATCGCAAATTCGACAAAATTTTATGTCGCATAAAAAAAACTAAAATTTCATGCCAAACATTTAAAAAAAAAACACTGTATAAATATAAAAAAAATACACGTTACTTACCCTGGCCAAGGGGTTTCTTTATTCAAATGGCTTCAGCGGCAAATTTGTTGATATCACCTCTTTTTATTATTTAGCGGTTAAAGGCCTAATTCTATCACTAAAATAAAGAAAAAGCTTGG